GGCTACATCTGGCTCTGTCCCACAGACCCAGGGTGGGGGGGGGTGGTGGTGCTGGCAACCCCTTTGGGCATCCTCTGCCGTCCGTCCTGGGACCAGGAGTGTGGGCTCACCCGAGAGCTTATTAGGCATGCAGAATCTTGCTCTCTTCCCCAGGATTTACTAAATCAGAAGTTGCATTTTAACACGTTCACATTTGAGAAGCACTGCTCCAGATCACAGCACCTCAGACTAAGGGCAAAAAAGGATATTCACTAACCCACCCCCAAACCCAAGAGCTCCATAGAAGTCCTGGCTTTTACACATGGCCATGTCCATTTTCTCGAGAAGGCATCTTGAGAGCCCTGCTAACCTGTCAGAATCCATTCTCTGGAAACCCTGAACCCCAACTTCAAACATGTTGTCCTGGCTCAGAGCAGCCTTGCCTGCTCCCTGCTGCACTCCCAGGAGCACCCTCCATGTCTGTTCTCTTGGCCACCACAGGGCTGGACACCAGGTGGTGTCTGGGAAAGTGGCCGGGTCACAGCCAGCAGGTGAGGGAGGCACCCAGGTACAACCTGAGCTGGGGCAGGGAAGTGGCTAGAGGACCTGTTTGTTCTGCCAGGAGGGTTGGGCCTGGACCACTGCAACTGCCTCCCCTGCACCTCCACCCCTACCCCAGGCAAGAGAGCCCCCTCCCTGTCACCCAGCCCCCGTGGGAATGGCTTGAGCCAGGAGCTACCATCAAACCTGCTCCCACCTCCTAGGGCCTGGTGACTTCTTGACAGGTTACAGCCCCAAAGACAAACAGATTCTGCCAAGCAAATAAGTGTCCAGCAGTAGGGGTGTTGAGGAAGGCCTGGGAGTGGGTCTGAGCTGCCAGAAGACCCAGGTGACAGGGTGGGGGCCCCTCTCCTGCAGAGAACAAACAGCCCAGGGCACCTGGAAGGAAACAGGATGCTGGTGTGCTGTCACAGCACTGGTTGGGGACTGAGGGGAGGGCACTCACCACAGGGGTCTCTGGGCCGGTCTCCCCCTCCCTGGACCTCCATTATCGGACTAAAGGGTGGAACTGGAGTCCTATATTTAGGCCCGTAGAACAGAAGCCAGTTCTCCCATGGTGCCTCCATTTCTTTCGTCAATCTGCGGCCACTGGTCCCCTAAGCTACCCGCAGGGAAGATGGCCTCCCCATCCTTTAGAACACACAGCTTTGCCAGCCGGGGTTAAGGCCCAGTGGGGGGATCTGCAATTAAGCGAACTTCATGCCAGCATCTGGGAGCTGAGGCCATGGGTCTTAACCTGTGCGACTCAAGCAACTCCCTCCCTTTCTGGTGTTTCTCTTCAGCACAGGGGATTATGTGACTAAACAAACCTGAGTTCTGAGCTCTTAAATATGCTACAGCCATGAAGAGGTGGGTCCAGGGAACCCACCATTTGCTGTCATGCCAATTAAGTGCTTTTCATGCTGTCTGACTACCACTAAGAGCTGCGTTCCCCACCTGCCAGAGACCCAGCTGGGGCCGGAAGAGGAACTCCCCAACTCAGCCTTTTTTTCACAGCAGGAAAGATGGCCATGAGGCTCTGTATTCCGCCTGTGCTACTCCTCCACCTGGGCTATGGACCCGACACTCAGTAAATGCCCAAACGATGTCTGCTGGCCAATCAGCACGAACCTGGCCACTACTGCTTCTGTGCTGGGCATAGCGAAGCGCTCAAGAGATGCACACGGTACCCCGAGGACCTGAATATCCTTGGAAATAGTTCCCTCCCTTTTTTGGTCACTGAAGCCAGGAAGGGCAGCAGATCTAATTATAACCCCAGGATGAATGTCCCAACCATAATGAACCTCAGGGTCCCAGGTTCCCCATTTGCAAAAGGAAGACCCAGGAACCAAAAAGTGCTCATCACAGCCTCACTGCGGGGGCAAGCAGATACACAGATGCCTGAGGGCACAATAAAACTCACTGACACACATGAAAATAGTTTTTTGTGTGCGTGTGTGTTAATTTAATCATACAAATATTCATTTATACAGTAAGGAAAAACCTCCCCATCTTCATCTCCTCCCAGGCACCATGAGGTCCCACCACAAACACCCACCCAGCTTGCTTGCTACACACCACTGTCCAGGTGGACGGGGCAGCCACAGCTGCTCCAGCATTCACCCAAGGAAATGAAGGAAAGGCAAGGCAGGGTGGGTTGGGGAAATCAGCTTGCATTTCTGAGCCCTGGCAACTCCACCACCCTCTCCTGCTGGGGCTCTGACTGAATTTGGGGATCCCATCTTGGCCACCCTCAAGCCACATGAGCTGTCTTGGTGAGCTTCTATGATGAGCTTAAAATTATAGACAATCCTTACTGGGAGAGAGAAGGCTGTTTCTTGTAGAAAAATACACCGAATTCAACTGCCCCCGTGGCAAAAAGAAAAAAAAGGCATGCACGCGTACACACATCCACACACACCTCATCCCATGCACACGATAGGTTCTTCCCAGCCCTGAGCCCCTCTGCCTCCCTCACTGGGCCCAGGCCCCTAAGGATGCCGTCTACCTCCTCTCATGGGTGCCAGACACTGGTGGTCCTGCCCAGAGGCAGCCTGCCCTTTGGGGAAGAGTCCGAGAGGAGCAGAGCCTACTGTGGCTGAGAGGGTTGCTTCTACCACCACACTAGGAAAGGGAGGAGAGGGGCTCCCGGCACTGCTCAGAACTCAAACCAGTGAGAGGAGACAGAATGAATGGTCCTGGCAGCCCCCAGCCCCGGGAAGGGGGGCGTGGAATCCCTGACTCCTAACGCACGACTTGTGCTTGCTCTGCCCTCTGCAAGGAGCTCCCCTCTCCAACTTGTACAGAAACGCTTTGCTCTTGGGACGGGAGTCAACGTGCTTGGGACAGTCACGTTGCCTACAAGCAATAGGAGCAGCAGGATGCCTCTGGCAGAGCCAGACTCACAAGTGGCGACCTCTAAAAGCCCCTGCTGAACCAAGGCAGGCAGCCCCTCCTGGGCAATGGGGAAAGTGCACCAGATGCAGGGCCGACGAGGAAGCCAGGAAATCAGGCGATGTACAGCCTCCCACGATCCTGCCAGCAACAGCTGGAGATGTGCTGTTTTGATGGCTGGGCGTGGGTGGGCTCCAGGGTGGCCGTGTCCCAGGAGGTTGGCACCAACAGTAGTGGCAATCTGGGCCTAACAGGGCCCTCAGACAGAAAGTCAGGGTGAGCCCCTGGCTTGAGCCAGTGATGGCCTGGGCACCCAACGGGGACTCCCCTCTGTTCTGCTCAGGAACGGGGCACTCATGTGCACTGATAACAGCTGCTACAGTGTGAGCCTTAGTCCTATCCCAGCCCCAGCAGCCAGACCTTCTCGGTGGGTTGGCTCCACCCTCCCCCAGCGCATTTCCAGTGGACCAAAGTGTATCCCCCCCCTTTGTTTTTTGAGAGGTGGGGAGGTGAAGGAGGAATTTCATACAAGCTTTTCTCCCACAATCAAGCTTTAAAAAACAACAGTCTCAGAAGAGGATGAGGAGGAACAAACAACACACATTTTTGGAACTCAGACACCCAGACAGAGACAGACGGGCAGGCAGACCCTCAACCACACCCAGGCTATATGACCCCTTGCAGCCGCTCATCACCTGGCCTCCCCGCTGGTCTCACACCCCCAAGATGGGTGGAGGTGTGGGAACAGGCCGGTGACCTGGCAACCGCACCCTAGATCCACATCCCCGGCTAGCAAACCAACCAAGACTCAAGGGAAGGAGGGGGTGAGAAGAAAAGAGAAGAGGGACTTTGCATATTCTTGTATCTTTGGCAGACAGCTGTTCTAGCCTGGTTCAAGCTTCCCATGGAGAGGTCCACAGCTCAACCTGCTTGTAATCCACGGGATGCTGGTGGGGCCACGTGCCCAAGCGGGCAGCCAGCCAAGCAGCGTCTGCTCCAGCTGGGCTGCCCCTCGCCCACTGCCGCCCACTAGCCAAGCATCCTGCTCAGGGTCGGGGGGCTCTCGTTTCATCACACTGTGGTCTCCAAAATCACACAGTCAGTACCTGCAGCCCCTCCCCATGGCCAACTTCCTGCTTGGGGCTGTATTTCCATACCTTAACAGCTCAGCCTCCACTAACAGGCTGCGAAAATACCGCAAAGGACAAGGGGCGGGAAACACAGGGAAGGGAGTTGTGTCACAACAGAGAAGCCTGGACACCTTTCCACCTGCCCGCTGCACACTTGCTGGTGAGCTGCACCAACACCATGTGCAAGCACGTGGCACACGCGTGTTACGCAGCCCGGAGGCACTGTTCCCAGAGTGAACGGGAAGCCACCGTGTATGAAGAATCCAAAAGAGCAGTAAGCGTGATGGCATTCCTCTCTGCCAAGAGAAACACGGAAGAAAAGCAATCTGAGTTGTCGTGTGTGCAGAAGGGACACCTCTCGGCCTCAGAAACTTCCATGTCACCCAAGATCTGTCTTCAAGGCTTCCTCTGCTGGCCACACAGGGAAGTTGGGTCTTCAGAGAGGTTCTGATGGTAGCAAGCCACAGGGGTTGACGGATACAAATGTCCAAGGTGTAAATCAACAGAAGATTAAAGAGAAAAGGAGGAAAAGGGTGATAACTCATTGGCTGATGCCATTACAGACAAATGGGGTCCGAGACTGCTGGAGCCGGGCGGCACAGGAGAGGCCCTCCTGCGGCACCGGCCTGCAGAGTCCCCCAACATGCCACGCCAGCTGGTGACCTGAATCGCCTTCAGAGCAAGCAGCTATTCTAGAAAGGGTATGTTATCCCTTATTGAAAGAAAAAAACGGAAAGTGGGGAAAGGGGAAAAAATTAACATGTGCTCAAAACTACAACCTGTCTGTAGGCAAAATAATTTTTGTTTAAAAAGATGGCTTTTTTTCCCCCATTTGAAACTTTTTTTTCCTTCCCGAGTGACCTAATGACTTGTTAGACTGACGCCTAATACACAAAACCCAAGGTGGCTGCATGGGTTTCTTCTTAGTAGCCTCAACACCATTCCGCGATTCAGCACTCACACATGCATACTGAGTTTACTCAAAACTAGTCTGTTCTGCTTCTTCTTCTTCTTCCAGGATGGGGGGACGGTCAGAGCCAGGGGTCCATGCGGTGTGGTCTGCAATCCAGAGGAACCCCCTGCCCTCCCCCCCCACCCCAAAGTCAGGCCTTCTGTCTTTTGTTAATTTTTCTTCTTGCCGATGCCCGTTTAAGACTGGCCGAAGGGGTAAGGCCCGTGGAGCCCCTGGAAGAGAGTGAACACAGTCAGTGATGGTAAACAAAGCAGGTACAACTTGACAATCAAACCAAGTAGAAGAAGAATCTATGGTCCCCAGTGAGCCAGAAGGAAGCCCCACGGCACAGACAAAGCCCGAGGGTTGTCCTTGCCATGCGAAACCCCAAGAGGCCAACTCTCAGCGCTGCCAGTTGCTAGGCAGTCCCACTCCATCACGCCGTCCGGGCAGAGGGGAGGCGGTGCAGGGGGACAGTCCTCATCTTTCAACAGCTGCATCAGCACCAACTTTGCCTTCCTGCTGGACAACAAGTTCTCAACCTCTCTGCTAAAGATCCCCATCCACCATTTTCTGCACCTTAACCTCAGACATAGGCTACTTCTGGCTAATGACCCTTATACCAACAATAAGACTGCCGCAGAAACGGGAACTGTCATTGGGCACCTAGGTAACAGGCATGGTACTCAGAGCTTTGCATACATTGTCTTTAAACCTCACCCCATAGGGGCGCCTGGGTGGCTCAGTGGGTTAAAGCCTCTACCTTCAGCTCAGGTCGTGATCTCAGGGTCCTGGGATTAAGCCCCGCATCGCATTGGGCTCTCTGCTCAGCGGGGAGCCTGCTTCCCTTCCAATCTCTCTCTGCCTGCCTCTCTGCCTACTTGTGATCTCTGTCAAATAAATAAATAAAGATCTTTTAAAACAAAAACAAAAACAAAAACCCCACCCCATAGCCGAGTAAGGATTCCCACACTCCTTTATTATTATTATTTTTAAAGATTTTATTTATTTATTTGACAGAGAGAGATCACAAGTAGGCAGAGAAGCAGGCACAGAGAGTGTGAGAAGCAGGCTCTGGCCAACCAGAGAGCCCAACTCGGGGCTGATCCCAGTACCCTGAAATCATGACCTGAGCAAAGGCAGGTGCCCCTGAGCCACCCAGGTTCCCCTCCCACACTCCTTTAATTCATGTCCATCTGACCACAGAGACTAAAAGACCTGCTCCAAGTCACATGGGTAGGAAAAGGCAGAGCCAAGGTTCAAATCCAAGTCTAATTTTTCAATTAGCAATAATCGCACCTCAGATAAACCTCATTGGCTAAGATACTGCCACTGCACAAAGCTTCAAGTCTGATTTTTATTCTCCCACATTGCCTCTCCCCTCAATTCTCAAAGGTATTTTTGGTGCCACCTGTCTGGGTGGAAAAGGCTTCATAGTCTCACTTCTCCCTTATGTTAAGGATGAGACACCAAGATGTGCCAAGACCAAAGGCAGTGGCATGAACTTGCTGGAGAATGACCTGTGTCTCCCTGCAACTTCCCACCCTGCTTCAGGAGTGTGCTCCTTGGAAAGACCCAGCCAATGCCAGCACCTAGGAGGCCAGACAGAAATTAACAGGTGACCAGCCTCCCTAGTGTTCTACACCCTAAAGTGGCTTACAAGCAGCGGGGCCCTTGGACCAAAGGGACCAAATGGGTACCAAGAGCAGGTGTCTCAGCCGTAACCATGATAAATGACTGGAGGGAATTTGCTGATGCTTGAAAACTACCTTAAGAATCCTGAATCTAGGGGTGCCTGGGTGGGTCAGTGGGTTAAAGCCTCTGCCTTCGGCTCAGGTCATGATCCCAGAGTCCTGGGATCAAGCCCCACATTGAGCCCCACATCAGGCTCTCTGCTCGGCAGGAAGCCTGCTTCCCCACCTCTCTCTGCCTGCTTGTGATCTCTGTCAAATAAATAAATAAAATCTTAAAAAGAAAAAAAAGAATCCCGAATCTAGGCATAATTAGAATAAGAAGGTACAAGAATGACGGAAATGAAATTTCCCATTAGCTTGATGGGATGCAGGCAGTCAGAATTTGTCTTTAAAAAAAAAAAAGACACATTTCTTTGTGCAGGGAAAACAGTGCTTGGCTGCAGGGTAGCCAGTGATTAGAATCTTTTTCAGTATCACTTTGTTTTGTTTGCCTCCATTTCCCCAGCATCTAGCATGATGCCTGGCCCAACAGGCACCCAATAAAAATTTGTTGAATTAATAACTAAAAGAGGACAGGTGTTTCCCAGCCTACTACCTGGAGTGTCAGACACCTCTGAGTCAGAGGAATATTGGCCCTTCCAAAACCAAGTTTTGAGATAGCTGCTTAGGCCTGGGGGCACAAGTATCTGGGGGTCATGCCACCATCTGGTCACAGGCTCCAAGGTCCCAGGTCTCAGGGGAGGTGGGACTCTCTGGAGGTGGTCAGGATAGAGATGCAAGACCCTCCCGTTCCCACTGCAGCAGAATGTAGTTGGAGCAGAACTGAGAGGTGATCTGGGTTCTACTCCCAGCTCTGCACCAGCTCACCAAGTGACCTTGGGTAAGGTCCCTTTCCCTAAGAGGAGCTCAGGTTCCGCTCTAAATCTTCCCAAGATTTAAAGTTCTAGGAGTCAGGGGCACCTCGGTGGCTCAGTTGTTAAACGTCTGCTTTTGTCTTAGGTCATGATCCCCGGGTCCCGGGATCAAGCCCTGCATCAGGCTCCCTGCTTCTCCCTCTCCCACTTCCCCCTGCTTATGTTCCCTCTCTCACTGTATCTCTGTAAAATAAATAAAATATTTTTTAAAAAGTCCTAGGAGTCAATGCAGTGCATGGCTCAGAAGGCTGAAAAACAGGCCTTCAAGAAAGAATAGCCCCTACTTTGGTCATGCTTAGGCCAGAGGTCAAATCTGCTAAGAATAGGGATCATGAGATTAAAGTTTCTGTAGTGTTTTCAGGGGAAGGCACTGAAATCACTTTTGATCTTTTTCCCTCCTCCAGATCAAGCCTCAAAAGACCAGAAGTATGTTCCTAGCTGCTTGGTGGTTATCACCAAAGAAATCCCTACTGGGCGAATCTGGAGGAGGGGCAGGCCAGTGCGAATGGAGCATCAACAACATGCCAGGTGCTGTTGAGGCACTTTAACCTATTCTTTGTAATTCTCAAAAAGATCCACTGAGATAAGCCAAGATCTCCAAACTCAGAGAGGGAACCCACTCAAGGGCACAGAACTGGTAAGAGCAGTGATGTTTAAAATGGCCCCGTGTCTGCCAGTCCCCAAGCGAACTACGCCTCTAGCAGACAAGCTAAGGTTGGAATCATCTCAGCGGCCATGTACCACCCGATTAACAAGGGTGGGCTGGGGGAGTGAAGAGCTCTCTGTCTCCATTCTGTAGGGCCTGGTCGGAGGTCACATGCACCAGAAATAGAAAGTGTAGAAGCTTAAAACAAACTGCGCTCAGTAGTTCCCAGCACTTGTTCATTCAGAACAATCCAAGGAAAGCAATAAACGCCTAGAATTCCCACAAGAGTTGGAACCAATACTATGCTCAAAGGTCTCTGTGCACGGAAAAAAATGCAAAGACAAAAGAAAACCCAAAAAACAAACAGCATTTGTTTTCTATGAAATATTTCCCCCTTAAATTTAACTGTTTTCCAGACCAAAGTTCCCTATACTTCACGTGGGCCTTTATAATGCAAGTAACAGCCTTATGACTTGTCTGGAGTGCTTGGAGAAGGGAGTTCATGACTTTGCCAAGGAGCTGTTGCACATTTCCATTTTATGGTAAATAAAAGGGGTCCTCTGCAACTGGTAGAGAGAGGAACAAAGGCATGTGAGCATTTTCAGATTTCCACGCGAGTGCTCTCGCCCTTGGACATTCAGTGAGGTAAGTAACTAGCTCAGATTATGGATTTTTGATCCTCTTAGTGGCTGAGGTTCTATGCCTTTTGTGGGGGAAAATGCTGCCTAATTCCCTTTCACCCAGAGAATGGCATACTGGAAGTTTTTGATGTTCTACTGGTGCAGAAAGGTGGCTTGAGAACAAACTCTATTCCCACCCACCTACCCCGCCAAATTAACTACCAACACTTCGAGGAAGGGAGAAGGAGCCAATTCTATTTCAAAACAACTTTATCATCTAGACTCCCCACATGCAGGATTATAGGTGTTACAAATGGATCAAGAGAACACAGGCAATGCAATACCAGCTGTGGAGGAAAAGCCTGGCAGAGATTCCAAGAACAGCCTGTCCAGGGTGTCCTATGGCAGGAGGCCAAGCAGGAAGTGCCTTTCCTAACAGTGGGATGGAGGTATACTGGACGTGGGAGGCCCATCCACATTTCAGGTTCCACTGGAGTTCCAAGACCCAGTGTAACAGGTTCTGGCGGCTGATGTCTCCAACCCCAGCCTAAAAGCGGGATTTGGCAATAATGTCTATTTTCTTCTGGGGCCTAGCAACTCTTCAAGCTCTATCCACAGGAGAAGTAAAGGTCAAGTATTTTAACTAACTTGGTATCACATGACACCTCTCCTCAAACAGTTGTGCCTCTTCTAATAAGGAAAACAGGGATAGAGGCATCAGGTGGTAGTTACCACAGAGCCCTAGATTAAACTGACTCAAGTGAAAATAGAGGCCAGAGGCATGACTGCAAATCTCAGGAGTCTGATGCAGAAGGCTGCCCTTCTCTCTGTGAAGAATCACTTCTCAGCACTTAGGGACTGGCAGCAAGGCTGGCTTTATCCATGCTAATAGAGGGTATGAATAATCAAACCCTGAAAAGAAGTCCTGTATCTGACTCCGGGTCTAAAGGCCAGTTCCCCAGCGCCTACCTGAGCTGCATAGTTTTCAAGACTTTCAAAGGCTGCATCTGCTAGAGGAAAGTGTTCCCGGCAAAGGAGAGACAGCCTTTAGGTCCACGGGGACTGAAGTGTTGCCCATGTGCTCAGTCTTCCCTAAGCTTTTCACTCAATACCTGTCATAGCAGTGAGCCCTGGGACCCAAGTTCTACTTGGCTACACAGCAGGCAAGCCCTCTCTTACAGCACAGAAACACCAAACCCACCAGCTAAGACAGAGATGCCTCTCCGTTCTTGGTGTCTGGGAAAAGGACCTTGGCCTCAAGCCAGCCGAATCATCACAGTAGTTGGGCCAGGTCCTGAGCTGCACTTCCATGGAGAAACAACTGAGAGCCATCATTTGGCTAATATTCTCAAATATTTT